AGTGAAAATCCTTATTAGTTTCCTTGAATTAACAAAGCATTATTACGAGATATGAATCAGTAACATCTGTTGAAATTGACTTGAAGATCACAGTTGACGATTATAGATGCCATTCTTTTTCAGCTGCTGTACTAACAATCGGTCACTTATATTCTTAATCAGCAGGATAACCTCGATCTCCATTACAATACCGTTAACTAATATTGACTTCAAGCAATTAGTTTACTGAGTTTTTGAGACAGTAGGTTGTTGATGCACTAATATGCAAGGCATACAGACTAATTTAAAGTTGACATCCATGATGAACGGACATCAGTTGGAAGGATATTGGAAACCCAGGGGTACTGGATAGCTGTTTCGTCCCAGTATGAGACTCCTCAGCAGTTTGCATCCATGACCCCACCTGCCGAGTATCGAACCCAGTACTTCCAGGTTCCATGGCCACTACGTCACCACTGAGCCAATAGATCATGGTCTAATGGTCCATATTTCCTACTTCTGTCAGTTCACGATGCAGCGTGACCTCTATCCGATATCCTTCTTGAGTACCTTAAGTCACTGGATTTCGACTCAGTGGCTCAATGGTAACGTGTTGGCAACGGAACCTGAAATTTCTAGGTTCGGTCTCCGGCAGGGTCATGAGCGTACATTGCTAAGGAGTTTCACACTGTGACTAAATAGCCATCCGTTGTTCCCAGGCTTCCATTATTCCTCCAACTTATATTAGTGTAGTGACTTTCAACCTAAAATCAATCAATAAGTCTCTATAAACCTCCAGACAGAATTAGCATAATTTTCGAATCGTCAAATATATTTCCAAGTTCAGTGATGGTAATTATGAGCCGGTACTCTGAATACTTTGGTCAAGTGTTAAGTGTGGTGTGTTTCAGCAGTTAAAACTGCTTCCTTTTGAAGTCGTAGGTACCTTCAAATATCTTCAAATGGGCGATACTTTCCAAACTGGCTGATATCCGTGCTCGGAAGAAGCAATTCAAGAAACATCCATTCTCTTTACAGTGTTTGAAAAATATATTACTACTTTTTACGATCAATTTATCATCAAAATTCATCTTCTTTGAAAGACCGCAATGTCATTATTGATTAGGGTATTAGTTTCGGCGAAGTTCTTCTGTGACAACCACATTTCGCTTTGGCCGCGATAATCTTGTGACCACTGTGTAATCATATGACAGTTTTATTCGTATATAAATTACAATAGGACATTCTTCACCAGAGAAACATGATGAGAGAAAAAACAGTAACTAGATCAGCATGACGTAACATTGTTTTGTTTAGAGGCTTGCCAAGACCTATTGATTCAAGGTGGTATTCATCACCGAGTGACATCAGTTAACAAGCCAAAGATAACCTTGAAGTACTAGACAGTTGTTTCGTCCCAGTGTTAGATTCCTGAGTAGCGCACACTTCTCATCTCCATTTTATGAAGTGAAAATTCTGGGACTGTGGCAGGTACTCATGGTTTGATAGATTTTCATAGCCTTACGCTAAACTGTAGTAATTTAGCTGGTTCATGACCCCTAATTTTTATTCATCTGTTAGCCAGCATACGATCTGGCATTGCTGCATAGCGAACCAAGTTGCCACATCTCAAATCATGACATCAAGGCATTTATTGAGTTAAAAAATATAAATAAGTAAAAAGTGGTCATATTTGGCGGTGGATGTGAAAACAGAACTAAAAAGAAGTGAAAAATACAATAAGCTCAACATGGCGATAAAGATCAAGGGATTGAATTGAAGTATTTTCTTTTACCCAAGTCAATTCTCAGCCGCATAACTTACAGTCTCTAACCACCGATGCTTATTTTCCCTCGAACCGCGATCGGGGGGTTCGCTTTTACCTAGAAGGCACAGACAAATGGTCAGAAACTTTATGAAATGTTGACAAGTTTTGGCGGAAAAAAATTCAGTTCTTCATGAACAGTTACTAATTTCATCTTACACTGCGCTTTAGGGTAGATAATGACTTAGCATGAGTAAATAATGTCCATACCACTTGAGTTAGTCAAGGTTTTTAACGTCATTAAGTGATTTACTTCTTTCACTGGAGAATCGTTTACTATCCACTGAGTTGCTGATGACATAGTTTCATGATATGTGGTATATACTACTAAGGCAAAGTTGGCTAAATAATGATGCGTCCTCATGTTCACATACTCAAATGGCCCTGCTTCAGAGCTGTTGGACGATACACTCGGCTTTTATTCAGTGATCATACTTTTGCCGTAGATGACGTGAGGTTCCAAAATTTAAGCTAGCGTCGTACATCTGTGCCTAGATTTTGTCCATTCACTCACCTACCACGGCAACCAATACGTAGAGATGCAGTAAAATAAGCTGTAGATTAAAAAAATAACAGTTACCACTCATTGCGAACAAGACGAATATTGAAGCAGTGGTAAAAGCCAAAGGATTATGAACACTGTAAAATGAGGGATGTAAATTAACTCTTCTTTACACAGTACTTAGGCTTTAAGTGTAGAACTGCCAACGTCTCTGCTATCCATATGTGACTAGTCTTCTCTCATTTTAGGGAGAGAGAAGCATCACTTCTTCCTTTTAACGGCATATTAGGAAAATAAAACCTTGAGTTCACCTCAACATCCTTCGCGAAGCTGAACAAGGGATTACAACGACTAAATTTTAGCAGTGCGGCTGCAAGACTAACTGGACCCTAGAAGAAGGTCTAGTGGTGATCTCATAGATATGTCATGATTTCGCCTGCAAAACTGAGTAGTGAATCTGAATTGCACATTAAAACTGAACTCTTCTGAAGTTGCCACTGAAGTTTACCAGAAAAATCCCACTACTCATTAGCAAATCCATTTGTAAGGAATTCACTATCTGTGACAATACCAATCGCCATAAAGTCAGGGAATTGAAATGAGACTTTCAAAAGGATGATCGTGATGAAGTCAAGCAGAAATCAAGAGATTGGACATCACTGATATAATTTAGCTGGTGTACACATTTCATTTCATACATCACTGTGTGGTTTATCTCGATGACATACATTCAAATACAGCCTTCTAAATAAAGTGATGTCCTTACATGACAAACCTTTTAGAGAATGAACTTGCCATAAGACCTGTCAATCAATGTAGTCGAACGTCGCATTCAACTGCTTTTAGGCGTTGCTATTTGCACCTGTGTTTTATGATCTGATTACTGACAAGTGACTGGTTGATAAACCCCAGTCTAGGTTTGAAACTCCCTGGTTTTATAAGGTTTCCAGTTCCCTAGCTTTATTTAGGTATTTGTCGGATTATATCAGAATCGAAGATCTCAGAAAATGCATGGGTAGATTAATTAAATGAAATTATCTAGAGGCTTTCCGTTTTGTCCAAACACTAGGATACGCACTGACTGATGCAAGCCAAAGAGCAGTATGTCTGATAATCGAACGCGAGTCAAATCTACAGTAATTCAAACTGATAATCATCAGCAACTGTCCTAAAATACCTATGGTTGCCTGTTATCGTTTAACGTTGATTACAGCTTCCCTAATTCCTGTGAATGCTCCTGTCATCCGCGACCTGAATGGATAATGGGTAACTAAAAATCAGCTGGAGAATTGTCGAACTGTTTCTCGGAGTGAACCATCCATTTTTTAGTTGTCTCCCTTTCGTGAGAATTTTAGATCCGTCCTCCATCGTAATGGCCCCACTACTGCTTGATTTTCTGTTGGATTGACTAACCTACTTTTAACAACATCAAAAGATAGTTTGGTGACTGTTGGTCAATTGAAGCACCTTTTAATCTATGCATGTTAAAGAAACTTGACTACTTTTCAAAGTTTTTATTATTGAACCTGATGATGTTTGTACTGAATTCATCCGGTTAATTATTCCCAGTTACGTAACGCGCTGCTTTTTTCATGTATACAGAGGATTGATGTTAATAAGTAAGCCTGATTGTAATGTAAGTCCATTTCTCAGCTGGTAGTTTATGAGTTTATTCACATTATTTTGTAGTCCAAAGCAGTGATGAAAATAAGCATGCTTCTTAATTACAGGGGAGTTTTACGTTAGAAAATACTGTAGTCAGTATTACTTTGAAAGAGCAGTTGTGTTTTCTAGGCATGGAAATATACTGTCATCAAAACGACATTGTTGATTTACATTAGGTTATTTAACAGAAGGAAAAATGAAATGTTGCATTACCATAAATAGAACCAATGTCTCTTATTTTATCCGAAAGTTATCAAATGAGATAAACCGCTTTCTGAAGTGGTAATCTCTGGGAAACCATAATCCTCACAATTTGTGACTTACTGGTCCAATATAACTATCTTTTTTTGTAACTGAATATCAGTGTTTGGTTATTGAAATTTTAATTTCCGATGTGCTGAGGAATTGCTTCAGAAAGTATTCTTCATGAACCTCTGAAGATGACATTTATAGGCATTAAACATTATTAGTTTGCTAAAACTTATATTGAGATCAAACAATGGTCGAAAGTAAAATCAAAATTTGGCCCGTCACTGAAGTTCGCTGGTTCGATTCCTACTACGTTCCATATATTCATTTCACTTTCAATTCAGTATCAGTTAAACATCATTCCCTTACCTAACTGCTACAAAGAATACTGTAAATGTATACGTTGAATAACTGTGTAAATAATGTCATTATTGTAACACGTTGCATATCATGGATTAACAATTAAAAATAGCCGTCCGACTCTACTAATTGTTCTTAGAATTAGGGCTTACTTTCAAGAAAATATATGTTAATCGACAAATGCTGTAAAATTTAATTATTGGCTGTCACAGAAGAGCGAGCGTAAAGTAAAATCTTTTAAAGATCACTGATAATCACTCTATGAACCTAAACAGCTATTTGCATGCTTCCTTGTCAAAAAGGTTATATCTGAGACGTAGTAACATAAACCTACCGTAAGTTGAATTGAATATATTTTACTGGCAGAGAAATGGAGAAATAACTATCCAACAAGTAATTATAAGTCGATTCTGAATTAAATATTACTTCAGAAGCATTGATCGGTAGATGTAATTTATAAAACACTACAGCCCTCAGAAGTCAAAAATGCGAAACCCATAATACCACACCCATAACAACAGATGATACATGAAAGCATAATGGAATAGAAATCTTGTTATTTAGTCGATCTTTATCATAAAATAAATTTAACCCTTTTTAATCTATAACATTTTCCACTAATCAACATTGATGAATGGATCCAGGTTACTCTTCCATAATTCTAAGACCTTGAATTTTTCATCCTCATCTTGGGCTTCCAGAGTTGACCATTGTATTCTGTTGTCTTGTCTGATATGTTGTTATACGGTGTTAAAAATTAGCATGAAATAGTCTAATGTTTATGGAATTTGAATAGTTTGCTGAAACATAAGCTATTAAACGTTTCTTTAAATTGAGTTGACATTGTGTAGTAAATAAAAAAATTTAATTGGTATGAAACAAGGATAACAAGATTACATAATATAACAACTTTCCCTAGATAATTATCAAAGTTATCGTGATTCTCAGCTCTGGAATTTAACTTCTGTTCATGTTGAAAAGCATCCTTTATGTAATATTCACTTGTACTAGAAGTATTCAGTGTGTAATTGTATGTTAATGTAGGGGAAAATGTCCCACTATCAATCTCCGGTAGTATTCCTATTGTTGCTACTTCTGCTGTTATTGTGGTGTCTGTATTATTTTTTACAACATGCTCTACCTTCCACATACTTTTCAGCACATATATAGTTAAAACAATAGCGTTCGGCAAGTGCATAGCTATAAACTTTATCAGGACTACAATAAGCATACGAGATATTGCTTGTGGATTGACAAACGATGCTTTTTGACTGGGTTTAGCTATAACTTCAATATTGTTGATACTGTTTACTGTGAGACTACTTTTAACGTGATCTCGAGACCTTTCTGAAAGACGACGCTTCTTCTGAACACAGCAGATGGATATGCATCCAGGATCATCTGCCTTACTAATACGTCTTTTTTTATTCAAACCAAGACGTGTTCGCAACTTCATGATGCTATGCATTTTTATCACAAGAATAATAGTCAATACGATAAGTATTCCACATGGTAGTATGTGAATAAGTACGATTCGCGTGTAGAAATAGGTTATCATGTATACCGGCTGAATTACGTGACATTTCATTACGATACCAGGTAAATCCTGTAGAACATTCGATAGACATTTAGGAGGATTCGAAACTTTGGCTTCATGGTGACCCATCAGAATTCCACTAAAGTTATGAAAATGAAATGAAGATGGTCTCAGCTGAAGTGGTCGAAATAAAATAAATCTTGAACATAGTAAAGGCCAGTGCAAAACAAATGCTGTGCAGGAGATGGCTAAGAACACTACTCCCGTGGAAGTTAAATTGCACAACTTAGAAGCCAGATTGTAAACTGACAGGTAGATCACACGCTGTAAAGCCAGGGCAACAGTTAACCATACAGAAATCGTATGCGTTATAGTTGGCAGAAAAACAGTTGACCATGCAGAAGCTTCACTGGCAATCACACTGCTACTTGTTTGATAATACAAACTTGGCGCTAACTGCCAGTTGGTATCTTTGAGAAGGGTCTCTGCAGTTGCAAAATTAGTGATTGGCAAATCGGTCCACCATGCAGTTCTTTTATACACGCTTTGGGCAAAATACATTGGCAGTGGCAGACAACTGTTTGTTAGTTCTACTATACCAATTATCAGTAATAAAAAAACACTGGCGATCGCATCTGTGGTCGACTTAGGACTAAACATACGAAAAATTTGTTATTAACACAAAGACCATCAACACAGGTAAAAGATAAGTGTGCACAATATCTTCAAACATGTCGTTGTACGGAGATGAAAACGTTGGATACGGTCCGCATATTTGATGCAGAAAATTGGATGAAATCACGCCAATCGGTTGGTTTAAATGATTTCTGCCAAATACTAGTATATGCTTTGATGTACGATTGTACTTCTCAAGTTGTGCAGCAAAGATTACAGCATCTTTTGCATGCTGATCATCAAAAGCGTAGAATATGTGATTATTTAACTGTCCAGAGAAGCGGGTTGCGATAAATACTTTTTCTCTGTCACACTCGGACATATTTCATCCTCATTTTATTGCTATTTGCTAAAAAGAACAAGTAAAGTAGGTCTGTATAATAGTAACAAATTTCATTCAACTGTCAATTTTTCATTAAAATCAAACTATTAATAGATGATATCTTCGAAACCCTATAAGTTGGTGGATGAAAAAGCATTAAGTGAAGACGGGTTATGTACTGAAAACCAAAAGTACCTGAACTACTGTTGTCATGTTATATTTATGTGTCTCAGGTTTCGTATAAAACGATTTTCAATTACAAAACTACAAGAACAGGTTTTAAACACGATATAGTATGCAGCGTACAATTCCATTAAATTTTTTTGAGTGTTACGGAGAGCGAAATATTGTTACTGATGTTGTTTCTAGCAGAATTTGATGCAGATAACCATTTGAAGGTAACCAAGCAACTTCCTGGCTTTCTTACCGACATTCTATTATTTTTCATTCTCTGATTTGACTATAAGTAAAATTTCATCATATCTGCCGCAATTTTTCTCTAATTTAGTTTATTGGTTTAAAGGAATAGTTTGGGTACAGACACAGTGACAATAATGAAACCGTAATGTGGGATTTCTATGTCTCATCTAGAGAAGGAGGATGATAAGGCGGAATTAACATTGTGTTTTAACTCAATAACTCGATTAGAAATCAAGTTTTTTGTCTAGAAGATCTCAGTGTACTAATTAAACAAACAATTCAATTTACCAAATCCCATTGGACGACTGTGCAATAGAAAACTTTCTTCAAGCTAGCCGACCAGAGTCAATTAGGTCAGTAGAACATGAAAACATAGAACAGTGGATCATAGTATGATAGGAAATCTAGAAACAACTTCAGCCATGCTCATACATGCTATCACACACAAGCACAGAATGGATTGGGAAGAAGTGACAATTAAAAAATAACTTCTACTGGTTGTGAGGGCGAAAGTTTGATGACTGAAACTTTGTTTATTGAATCAGTACCTGAAATCTCACACTTGTGATGTTTTGATATTCTTCGGTAATTTGCACTTAATGGGGTTACTAGGCTAAACTAAATAAGAGAAACGACATAACAGCATGACAAATGAACTGATAAATCACATTAATGGAAATTTGTCTCTGTGGAAAACAATTAAACACTCAAAACTGATTAAAGTGAGAATTCATCTCCAACATAAAGATAAAACGTGATGAAAAATGTCAGGAAAAGAGCATCATTCTTGATTTCCATGCCTTCAGTATTTTCAGATTGAAAGAACCAGTAATATATGGATCTTGAGACAGATCAAACTCCTAGAGTGAAGTTCTTTACTCTATATAGGCCATGTTTTACTGAAAAGTTGTTTATTTATAAACAATGTATTGAAGCAAAGGAGGTCAGTGATATTGCAACACAAAAGGAGTGTTTATGTCACGATAGTTTCAGTAGCATAAGATGAGATGAAAAAGCGAAAAGAGAGACATAGGTTTGGTACAAGTTAAAAGTATGGTTTACAGAGTTAAGGCAAAAATATATCAAGTATTTCATGCACCAGTAAACATTAGGAGGAAGTTATTTTATAAAATACTTAACATAAACAGAAATACAATGATACATATTTGCATTACTCCTTAAAGTACTTTGTTTGCAAGAAAAAAGACTAAAATCCTCACATAAGTCTGAACTAGATCAATGAAAGTGGGCCCTTCCGCCAATAATATTTCCTTGAAGATCATATGTACCAAACTTGAAACTTTTGCTGATATGTAGATCCAAATATTTTCAACGATAACTTATTGATGTTCATAAAAATGTTTACAAGTTTTCAGTCCAACGATGATATTTTCGGTTAATTGAATTTATCCAACAGAAAAGAGTTTTGTCCTGTTTAAAAATGGCGTCAATTTTTAAAAGCCATGATGCCACAGCTGGTACCAGTTAGGGTTGTAATAATCTATTTACCTACTTATCACCATAGACTTTATAAATCATGTTTAACTTTTGCACACATCTGCATATCGTATCAAATGAACTGGAGGACTTCAGTAAGTTTCAAATAGCGTTCTGGAGGAAAACTGTTCTTTCAAATAATTTGTGAGGCTAGAAATTATTTTATTCGAGTTGGGTAGTGACAAACAATCTCAAAGTCATTTTATTATTTTGAAAATGTTTTGTCCAGTGACTTGACTCAATAGATCTGCAACCCATTGAATGGTTAATATGTGGATTCTTTGTTCAATATTTTTGATTAGGTTGAGTTGACGTTTAATTAAGTCAACTTTGAATTTCGATTTTGATACTGTTGCATAGGAAACAGTCGTTTAGATAATATTATAAATACTGAATTGCTCTAAGCAATCAGATGCGTTGAGACGGCAACTTGTTTACGAGTAGTACTCCACTGAGCCAACAGGCGAAGCTACAAAACAAGCTTAGGAGAGAAAGAAAGTAAATGCTGATGACACCATCCAGCATGGTGATGAGATGCACAGGAGAAGACGTCAGAGCTTGAAGAATACCAAAAAGTCGCCGAAAGGGAACACCTTAAAGAAGCTATTAGTCGTTCAGTACTAGGTAAGATGTGTTTGTCTGCACCACAGCCTCGTTATGAAGTTTGATTGGTAGTTCTTCTTCCACTTTCATTTCACTATCAAGTGCTATTTCATAGAAACAATTGGATACTCTTGATTACTGTATATCTAAATATTGTGCAGATGAAGAATGAAGGCTCTGCACCATGCATATTCTTTCGATAGCCACCAGCAACAAGTGTTGCCTTGGAAAGATGTATCACTTTTTAACCAAAATTCACCTCCATTTGACTAACTAACCCAAAAGAGTTGAAAAAGAGATGTCAATATTTATAATTTGCAGCTAAATTAGCATGACTTACACATGAACTAAGATAATGGTGAATTATTTCCTAACAAACTGTTTTATGTGCAGAAGAAATGGGATGGCACCGTAATAAATATTAATACAGCTGTACTACTGTGATATCTGATGATCATAAAAATTGAGTAAACTTAGAACCAAAAGCTGAAATTTTATGTTGATATATTCATATTTTAATTCAGTTTACTAAATCTTTTTATAGTTTATTGATTTCAACTATTGGCCTGCGGTATGCCAACAAAGTTATAATCATATTTTTGAGTCTAGCTACTTCCAATCAACGTAGGATTATTTCAGATCAAATCCCTAACATGTAGAATGCAATACAGATAACGTGTCTTAAAATGATATCAAACGAGTTCAAAAAATAAAATAAACCAGTGTAGTAAAGCATGTAGCACTCTAACTTAAATAGCAGTGTTCCCAAAGTTGTTCGTTCAGCAAAATGACAAGCAAACATGCAAACACAGTATACATTCTACCCAAAAATGATTGATGTATTTCTACTTCAGTAAAAGTTTTTGTCATCTAACAGAAGCAAGCTTAACAAGTAGTTACTGTTTCAAATGATGCAAGGGCGAAACACGTCCATATGCGAAATCCAAACCAATATCCTCTAAAGTTTCTCCTTTTCGACTTAAAATTATAACAGGGAAGCCCTACTTGGAAACCCATTAGTACTAAATAACTGAAGTAAATTTTGATCTGGTGTCTGATAAGTGAACGTATGCATGACTGAACTTTTTGGTTTACGCTGGCAAAATCAGATGTTAGCTGGATGATTATGCAATAAGTCAGTGGCGTCTGTTGCAAGACCTTAGGCAGATGAATTATACAGAGAATGTTACCAGCATTCTATGAAACATGGTCAGGCAGACATCTGTAAAGATTATCACGATCCGAAATGCTATTTGTGTATATGGACATAAATTAAAGCGCTCATTCAATTAACCCGAAAGTGTTCTGCAGTTGACCACGCCTAAAATGTCTATTCATTTTGATAAGAAATATATTTTATTTGAACATTCTATCAAGCCAACTTGAACTGAGATAGGGTGAGAAGATTTGAAATTTAATTATCGACTTGGGTGTGAAGGTCTTCTATAAACACTAAACTTTAATCTTGTTTTCGTTTTATTTATTTTCTATTACACACTAAAATGAAAACAAGATTCGAATTTATACATTAGTGTCTACGGAAGACCTTCACACTGAAATCGATAACTAAATTTCAAGTCTTCTCACCCTATGTCAGTAGAAGTTGGCTACGTAAACTAAGTAACAGGGAGAGAAAACTTACTAGTAAAGCAGATCTAAGACATCATTGGTTATCAACAATTACCCTCCTAAATTATGTGGTAAGTTACTTAGGAATCGTAAGAAAAACATGACTAATATTAGTGACAAGTAATAGCAGTAACCATAATGTCAATAACAATAATAGCAATACTGCGAAGAGAGAAATCAAAACCTCTACGGTATTATCAAACAAGGAAGGCACCACAGAGACATTACTTAGGATTCTTAGTAAGGCTAGGTGGAATTAGAGTGACAATTTAAACCTACGTAGTTACTTAAAATAAAGCTTTGTAAGTTAGAAGATCCTACTGGTCGAATTAGGCAGAACAATTTAGTTTACTAAGTCCCTTGTAACGATTTAGAGGTCAAATACGTAGGTCAAAATAGTCAACCAGGGTCACCTAGGCTATCCCAGTACAAAATTGGTAGACCCTGGTAAAATAAGAAATTGAGAAAAAGTTCAGCCATAGCTATGCATGCGATTACACACAACCACACAGTAGGATAGAGTAAGGTGAAAATCCTTAAAACTAGCACAACAGAGTAGAGAGATTGACACGTGAATCTTTGTTTATCCGCACCTGTTCTGGATATATGCAAAATCTTACTACCCATATTACACCGGAGGCGCGGAAGTAAGGACTACATAAAGGATGTCTCAAAGTTGTCTAGTTATCATGATGTGACAATGGACAATAAATAATGTCCGAAGAGTAATTCAGCAAACAATACCGTTCCTCTTTATGACAAATATACTAAATCAACCAAAATAGAATATTTCAATTAACGTAATATCCCGACTTGTTCCTAAGATATGCATAGTTTCCAACATTTAAAAA